AGTTTCTGGAAGTTTCCATGCTATCCAATCAACATTCATTTTCTGCTTGTAGAATGGAAGCGCCGATACAAGTAATTTCGACGAAGAGTTCACTCGTGAACAACCGACGTTGACACCCGTTCATGGACAACTATCTTCCCGCGACCAAGCCGAGTTCAACGGTTTCTCTTACGTCGCTTCTTGGGCTGATATATGATGACGAAAAGTAATCTTCTGAATTGCTTGAAAGGTGTACGATCCGCTCGATATGTTATTTGTGCTATCACGAACTGTATATACATACCTTGACCATGACAAGCTCAGCTCGTATATGGTATCAATTATCTCTTTATACTCGAACACGACGCGTACATAGTGGCTAGCTGTTCAAGGTCGCCCATGAAGGCCATTGTCAACTACGACTCAGAATTCTCGGTACCGGCGCTTAATGCATACTTAGTTCAACTGATCTCAAATTTCTTTTTTCTTGACTTCATCGACCTTGTTCTACAAGGTTCTTCACCAACGGTGTGTACAGTGTGTACACTGTAGATTCTTCAAATCAATATAGATACTTAACTCTGGATCCAAGATTAGCCATGGCAAATCCATCATCATCTACTACCGTCGGTCTTCACTCTTCGCAGCAACAAAATCCTCTCTTCATCCGTAATCTGACCACTCTCGGACACGTTGATCATGGAAAAACTACGCTCATGGACTCACTTCTTGCATCTAATAATATTATATCTGCACGAATGGCAGGGAAAATTCGCTACATGGACTCCCGGGAGGATGAACAAGAGCGAGGAATCACGATGGAGGCCTCTGCTGTCGGACTGAAATATCGGGTCAAGGACGGTGACATGTACGTTTTGAACATGATTGACACCCCTGGCCATGTTGATTTCCAGTCAGAAGTATCAACGGCCTCGCGACTATGTGACGGTGCACTCATACTCGTCGATGTGGTCGAAGGCGTGCAAACACAAACCACATCGCTTCTGCGTCAAGCGTATCAGGATCAACTCACACCTATATTGGTGCTCAACAAGATCGATAGGATGATCACAGAGCTAAAGCTGAGCCCCGAGGAAGCATATGAAAGGCTGACGAGGGTTGTGGAAGATGTCAATGTCGTGATGGGTGCTCTATGGGGCGGAGAGAGAATGAAGAAGGCGGAAGCAGATGCTCCAGACGACGCAGTTGCAGCAAACGAAGATGAAGATGATTCAGGAATATATTTTGATCCTGCTCGAGGCAATGTTATATTCGCCTCTGCCATCGATAGCTGGGGCTTCCGTCCCTCACACTTTGCCCGAATATTCGCAAGGAGATTGTTTGCTGAACAGATACAATCGGGTAAAATCACTCCAGAAGCGTTGAAAGAAAAAGAAGAGAGTTTGAAGAAAGTTATGTGGGGCGAGTGGTATTTCGATCCAAAGAGTAAGAGGGTGGTGGGATCAAAAGGAAAACGACCTGGAATGAAGACGCTCTTCGTTCAAATTGTGCTGGAGAATCTATGGCAGGTCTATGACGCGGTGATAGGCAATCCGTGAGTTTTTTTCTTATCATCACTTGATTATTACGAACGCATAACTGGAGTTTCCTAGGAATCCGGACAAAGTCTTGAAGATCATATCATCCCTTTCGCTTACGCTTCCACCACGAGAAATTCGCTCTTTATCGAACTTAACATCTGCTTCAAAAACAACCAATACAGATCCATCCGCGACAAACAACTACTCCAAACATCTCCTGTCGCTAATCTTTGCCCAATGGCTTCCACTATCCACTTCGATCGTCCAAACTGTGATCGATATTGTCCCGCCTCCTACCGTAGCCCAAGGTCGCAGGATGAACAGGATGCTAGGCTTAGCTGACGCTCCTCCAACCAATCCGTCGAAGGCAGATTCGTCTTTAATCCCTGTTCCGTATGAGCACCTTTACGTGGCCTCGCCCTCAACCGATGTTCCCGTGTGTGCATATGTTTCTAAAATGTTTGCGGTCCGAAGAGGGGACTTACCAGAGGAGAGAGAAAAGGCCAAGGCTGCTCATACTAAAGAACAAGTTGCAGCTGAAGAACCGAACGAGTCGGAGGGTGTTAATGGTGAAGGACCAGACGTTGAGGAAATTCATCAAGATGACCCAGATGTGGACGTTCTTCTTGGTTTTTCGAGAATATATTCTGGAACCTTGAAAATTGGGGAACAGGTCCTGGTCCTTTTACCCAAGTTCAACCCTGCACTAGAGGATACCAACATATCATCGAACGATATCTCAACCACCTATATACATTCTTCTAACCTAACCTACGTATTGGGTCTCCCGTCTTCGAACACTCGAACTTCATCTTCTCAGATGCCCGCCGCGCAGCCTTCTGCAGCCTCTTCCTCCGCCTCTCAACCGACTCATCCCACGCGAATCGCGATTACCGGCCTCTACCTCATGATGGGCAGAGAGCTCCTTCCGGTGTCAAGCGTGAGTGCAGGTCAGATTTTTGCTGTGCGGTTCGAATACGAATTTGCATCTCCCCCGGGGCATCCGAAGAAGCAGCAAGTGATACCGCATTGAGGAAAGATAAGAAGAAGAAAGACGACGTAGAAAGCGTGTTCTGGAGAGGTGGGACTATCGTTCGTCCATCCAGGAATTCATCAGCAGTCCAAGGACAGTCTCAAATCTGGCTCGTCAACCTCGGTCGGATAACACGCACTGTTCCTCCTATCGTCCGCTTATCTCTTCTTCCCGCATCTCCGGGCGATCTTCCTGCCCTGCTTCGCGGATTACGAATCCTTGAACAAGCTGATCCATGCGTGGAGACGTTCCAGATGGATGGAGGAGAGTGGGTGATCGGTGGGGCAGGAGAGTTGCATCTGGAGAGGTGCTTGAAAGATTTGAAGGAGAGGTTCGCAAAGGTGGAGATTCATAAATCGAAGCCGATTGTACCGTTCAGGGAGACGGCAGTTAGGGAAAATGCCGGTCAATATTCCTTATTCTGTGCTTGTATTTCGTTTCGACGTATTGATCGTGTCATTCATAGAATCGCAACAACCCGGAACGTCATCTACTCAACAGCAGCAACAGCAGGTTGTGCAGCACCAACAACAAAAGCAATTTCAAGCCCAGTTTGGAGGTGGATCAGGGAGTGGCCCTACAGGTACATTTACCGCATCTACATCTTCTCACCTACTCACCAAATGATCTTTCTCCTATCTCATAGGCACTATCTCTTCGTCTACTTCACCAAACGGCATAATCCAGTTCACCATTCGATGTGTTCCGCTCCCATCAGGTGTGCGAGAATTCCTAGCTGGTAAAAGAAGGAGAGGTGTACTAGCTCGTCTAAGACGGATCCAAGAAGTCAAATCCAAACCGAGAGGACCTGTAGACACCTCAAAACAATCGGATTCAACAGGAACACAAGGAACAGTATTACCTCGGGAGACATCGGAAGAACGAGCTTTCTGGACCGAATTCGAGGACGTGTGTCGAAAAGAGGCATCCAGGAAGGAACGCAAATATCGTGATGCCGATGAATCAAAGCTGTGGCGAACGCTAGCCGAACGAGTATGTGCGTTTGGGCCTTCGGGTGATGTACGTGATGTCAGACCCAACGACGACTCAGGTGGCGAAAGTTCGATAGAGTCGGATTCAGACGTTGATGCTACAATAGCAGGTGGCGATTCTTCAGGCCAGTTGAACAACACCAGGCCGTATAACAATAATCAGGATCAGGAACTGAGTGGAGATACAGATGCATACGGCGCTGGATGCATACTTGTAGATGCTCGAGAGACAAAGAGCGAGACTGCCATGGTAGACACATTTGATCCCCTACCATACATTCACACCGGCTTTCAACTCGCAGTCAGACAAGGTCCGCTATGTGCGGAGCCTGTTGAGAGTTTAGCATATTTTGTAGAGAAGGTGGAGGTGGATTGGGAGAAACTAAATCTGGAGATTGGTGGGTACTCGTATTTTGCTGTTTGTCGTACAACAATTTATTTCATGCCATATCTTCCCATTCACAGAACAGAATCGTATTACGCAGACCACTGGCTCTCTCATCTCTGCTGTCCGTGATGCCTGTCGCAGTGGTCTGCTTGAGTGGAGTCCGAGGTTGATGTTGGCAATGTATAGTTGCGACATACAATGTAGCAGTGAGTCTTCCTTGCATTCCTTCTCACTGTCTCCACTAAACTTCCGGCAACGAAGCGGACGTGCTCGGACGCGTGTACGGAGTCCTTTCTAAGCGTAAAGGAAGGGTTGTAGCCGAAGAAATGAATGAGGGAACGTCGTTCTTCACAATTACTGCAAGATTACCGGTCATTGAATCTTTCGGTTTCGCAGATGAGCTACGGAAGAGAACGAGTGGTGCGGCTGGTGCAATGCTGGTCTTCAGTGGGTGAGTTCACAAATTGCAATTTTTTTCATTATCGTTCGAGAGAAATTTTGAATTTTGACACTTCCTGATAATTCCTAGATACGATCTCCTCTCGCTCTCTCCGTTCTGGGTTCCTTCTACCATTGAGGAGCTAGAAGACCTGGGAACGACTGCCGACAGAGTGAATCAAGCGAAGGTTTATATGGATAGTGTCAGGGAGAGAAAGGGCCTGTTCGTCGATAGAAAGTTGACGATAGAGCCAGAGAAGCAAAGAACCCTGAAAAAGTAGTAGACGTATAGACAAGGAGAAACTATACTTTCAGAAGACGCTGGTTGAGTGATATGAGGGCAGAGTTCATCTGGCATTACTTATCTGAGGGACTCCACGGGGAATTACAGATTTGGTCGCATAGGTCATGTTGAAGAAATCGACATCAGTTTTTAGTTAGATTGTAGCGAATCAAAGCTAAGCGCTAAGCACGGCAAATTACAATGCAACCTAACTAGTAACCCGCACCGTTAACGCATACTTTAGGCCCGAGGGAAAGAGGAGAGCAAGTGGAGAGAGGAGAAAGTGCTAGTCTCCGGTAGGCAGATGCGAAAGCGCGAAAAAATGTACCAAACGTATTGCAGTACATTCCCTCTAGCCGACTTGAACGACTGACCTCGTCATTAAGAATAATACTAGTGACGCGCTCTACCAACTGAGCTAAGAGGGAGACACTGATAATGCTTCAACACAGCCCTATCGGGATTGTGGTGTATGAATTGAATGCCCGCGAGCGCCAATCTAGAAAAACTTTCAAGAATTTGAAGTTAGCCTTCACCTTAACTTCACCCAGCTCTTTCCTTTAATCGTCTAGACTTTCTTGATGGAAGACAGGCCTCACAAGGCACACAGGCCTGCACACTCGGGCAACAAGGCTGAGAAGAAAGATTCCAAGGGAAAGGGGAAAGAGAGGCAAACTGGATTCAATGAAAAGGTGCTTCACAATCCTGCCTCTTCACGCGATCCTCTTATAACACTCTCCATGCAAGGCCTTTGCACCCAAATCCGGCCGCAATGCTGACCGTATGGGGCGACGGGCGGTGGAAATAGACCAAACCCGGCTCCATGTCCCTCTCGTCAACCGAACACCAGACGATCTTCCTCCGCCTATCATCGTCGCTATCGTTGGTCCTCCCGGAGTAGGCAAAACGACTTTGCTCAAGTCTCTGGTTCGAAGATACACCAAACAGACGTTGAGTGAGCCCAAAGGGCCGATAACAGTTGTCAGTGGGAAGAAGAGGAGGATAACTTTCGTGGAATGTAACAATTGCCTGAATAGCATGATTGATATTGGCAAGGTAGCGGATCTGGTGCTGTTGATGATAGATGGTAGCTTCGGTTTCGAAATGGTAAGCTATTTATTGGAGCATAAGATGTACATGCTACACGCTAAAATATCATCTTGGACAGGAAACTTTCGAATTCCTCAATATTCTCCAATCTCATGGGTTCCCCAAAGTCATCGGTGTCCTCACTCATCTTGACCTGATTAAAAAAGCTGCTACCCTTCGCGCGTCCAAGAAAGCTCTGAAAAAACGGTTCTGGACTGAAATCTACCAAGGCGCGAAACTGTTCTACCTCTCCGGGGTGCTCAATGGTCGATATCCCGACACCGAAATCCTCAACCTGTCGCGCTTCATCAGCGTGATGAAGTTCCGACCTCTAGTTTTCCGCAACACCCATCCTTACGTCTACATCGACCGGATAGAAGACCTGACTCCGAGAGAACTAGTCAGGACTTCCGGAGGAAAATGCGATAGGAGGGTGTCGGTTTATGGGTATGTGAGAGGGACGAATCTGAGAGAAGGACAAAAGGTTCATATGCCGGGTGTAGGTGATCTGGACATGGAGAGTGTCCAAATTTTGGGTGACCCGTGTCCGTTACCCGATGCGGACTCGGAAAAGAGAAGGAAGCTGAGCGAGAAGAAAAAGTTGTTAGTCCATGCGCCGATGAGTGATGTAGGAGGGATGATCTACGACAAAGATGCGGTGTATATCAACGTACCGGGAAGTTTTTCAAGGAGAAACGACGGCGAAGAAGGAGATGTCGTACAAGGTGAAGGAGAGAGGATGGTTATGGATTTGCAGGATGCCGGTATGACACTTGACGATGCGATCAAGCAGACGAACATCCGACTCTTTGGGTCTTCCGAGAAACATTTGGCTATCGAGGACGAGGAGGAAGACGAAGAAGACGGCTATGATGACGAAGAGGACGAGCAGCAAAGTTTGGATTCTGACGACGAACCCGAAGACGAACCGGACGAACATGCGCACACTTTCAATATGTCCAAGTTACGTTCAGACCCTCGGAACACCGGTCGTTCACAGCTGCGACGCCCCAATCGCTCGTTTCCCTCTCTGAAATCATCCACAGGCTCACATCTAGATGTTGATTTTGCAGAGAGTGATTCGGATATAGGTGGAGTTGACGAAGAAGATGGCGAACGCGCTCGATTTGAGGATGACGAGGATGACGAGGATGAAGATGAAGAGTTGAGTGTCGACGATGAAAACGAAGCATCATCTTCGCAGGACGGTGAAGAGACCGATGAAGATGATGTGGAAGAAGGTCCCAGTAGCATCAAAGCTCTTGACGCATTGGCTGTCCAACGTCGACGAACCCGAAGAGACTGGGTGAAAGACATCTACTCAAGTAATCTTACCCCAGAACAAATCCTTTCTCAATCCCCCTCCTCATCAGCTGCTGATGCCGGAAAGCCCGAGAAAGCGGCCGATGACGATGACGACGACGGATTCTTCTTCACTAAAAAATCCTCTGATGCCGTTTCCGACCCTCTTGACCTCGAATTTGCAGACAGATCAAAACCGACGCCTGATGCTGCAGAGCTCAGTAAATGGGAGGACGAGGACATGTTAGAGAGCATTCGAAGTCTATTCATCACAGGCATCGATGCTCCAACTGGAGACAATAACGACGAAGGACAGGGTAATGGAGTAGAAGGTGAAGACGATGACGACGAAGGTGGTGATTTTGTAGATTTCGAGGCTGTAGGCGGTGATCCTTCCCTGAGCACTGCCGGCGGACCCTCTTCCTCTGCCACCACTTCTACCCCAGCAGCCGGCCCGTCCTCTTTATCTCGCGATGCATTGGCATCTAAAAAAGCCGCTCTCAAAGCCCGCTTTGACGAAGAATATGACGATCCGTCTGCATCAGGCGTGGATTTTTATACCGAAAAGAAAGCCGAGATGTCCTCCCAACTGGAGCTCAACAGAGCTGAATTCGCGTCGATTGCTGATCCGGAAGCTCGTGCTCAGCTCGAGGGATACACTCCCGGGACTTATGTTCGAATCGTCCTAACGTCAGTCCCCGCCGAGCTCATCACCTACTTTGATCCAGTATACCCACTCCTCCTAGGCGGCCTCCTCCCCGCCGAATCACATTCCTCCCAACCCTCCTCATTCAACTTTGTCCAAGTCAGATTAAAACGACACCGTTGGTTCACACGACCGTTAAAGACGAACGATCCGTTGATCGTCAGTCTTGGATGGAGAAGATTCCAAACGATCCCGATATACTCATTAGACGATCACAGTATCCGAATGCGAATGCTCAAGTATACCCCAGAACATATGCATTGCTACGCTACCTTCTGGGGCCCCGGAGTCCTCCCCAACACCGGTTTCTGCGCCTTCAACAGCGTCGCCGACGGCCCAAGCGCAGGTGGATTCCGAATCTCCGCCACAGGCGTCGTCCTCTCCCTCGCTAGCACCTCCCAGATTGTCAAAAAGCTCAAACTGACAGGGACGCCGTTCAAAATATTCAAAAACACGGCGTTCATCAAGGGGATGTTTAGTAGCGCGTTGGAGGTTGCCAAGTTTGAAGGGGCGAGTGTGAAGACGGTGAGTGGGGTACGGGGTGTGGTGAAGAAGGCGGTTGGTGCGGGGGGTTTGGGTGGGGATGGGAAGAAGAAGGGAGGAGGGAAAGGAGGGGATGGGGCGTTCAGGGCTGCGTTTGAGGATAAGGTGTTGATGAGCGGTAAGTGAAGTGATGAAGTCGGTCCGGCTTGTGTGTGTTGAAGTTTGCATCTCTCTTATCTTTTCAGACATTGTATTTCTCCGCGCATGGTATTCGGTCCAACCACGGAAATTCTATGCCCCTGTCACTTCGCTTCTCCTACCTTCTCAGCCTCTCAACGACGCGGAGCAATCTTCATCCCTCACTCTACTTGAAACCAAACAAACCTGGACCGGTATGCGTCTGACTGGCACTGTCCGTCGCTCACTCGGGATCAAGACGCCTCTGAACGTTAATTCAACGTACAAACACAAATCTGTCATTGAACAACAACGGACAGAAAAGAAAGGGAAATTTGCTCCGTTGGTCATACCAAAAAGCTTACAAAAAGAGCTACCGTACAAAAGCAAGCCAAAGCTCATGCTCAAGCAAGGCGGTGGTAGCGAAGGCAAGAAAAAACAGCCTTATCTCCAAAAACGCGCAGTGGTTATGGAGCCGGAAGAAAAACGAGCGGTAGCGTTGCTACAGCAAATCCGAGCGCTGAGGAAGGACCAGGTGCAGAGGAGAAGGGAGAAGAAGGAGGCGGGCAAGGAGAAGAAGAGAAAGGAAGAGGAGAAGAGAGAGGAGAGAAAGACAGAAAAAGAAAGGGAAAGAAAGAAGGAGGTTATGAGGAATGTAGGGATGGGCGGAAAGAGAGATAAAAGAGAGGCAGAGGTGTTGGAGGGTGGAAAAAGGAAGAAGAGAAAGATGAGCTGAATGAGTTAACATCGAGTATCTCTTCTGATATTTTTCTTCAATGCGTGTTGCTACGATGGAGTTGAATTTCCCCTTGCCCGACTCGAACGAACAACCTGGCGTCGGAAGATATATCTTGACGTCATGGTGTTTGGAGACGAAGTAAAGCCTGACATCATGGGTGCGAGTGGTGAGACAGGATATATAGCAGAAAGCTTGGGTTGGATTTCTACCCAAAACAATCCAAAACTCTGTTACTCAGTATCCGTGGTTCAACAATGATTCCCATTCTCCGAGGTCTCGCGAGAAGCCCTCTCAAAGCTCTTCCTCGAGCTGGCCTTACTCGCCCAGCGACTATGCATACACCCGCGTCCATCGTCACTCTCTCCACCTTCTCTTCATCCCTAAAGCGCTCCTCAGTCAATCCTAAATCCCTTACTCAATACCACCCTTTTCCCCGTTCTATTCTCGCCCGTACCGTCGCCTCCACAGTCTCCAACAGACCAGCATCCCAAACTTTTGACCACGCTGCTTTGAATATTCGGGAGGAAGCTGGAAACAGCGCTGCTGACATTGCCAAAACCATCGCAGGAGGCAACATCCCCGCATCCGATCAATCTTTCGTTGGTATCACTTCCTCGCTCGCTTCTTCTGTCCCAAAACCTGTCTTGGTGTTTGGACTACTCGGCACCGTACCCTATGTCGGAGCAGGAGCAACGACAGTCTATCTCGCCAGTGTCGCTGGCGCAGCTGCAGCCGGCAATCCAACCTCGATCGATCCAGGCGTGGCGTTGACCATGCTGGACCAAGCTCTCAACATCCAAGTCACCTATGGCGCCGTCATGCTTTCGTTCCTTGGTGCTCTTCACTGGGGTATGGAATTCGCCAGCCCACGTCCTACCCAATCAGAAACCGTCCGCCGTCTCCTCCTCGGTGCCGCACCCATCTTCTTCGCG